CCTGTCTTTATAAAAACAATAGGAAAATGGAATGAAAGGCACCTTTGAAGAAGTACAAAGAAATCCCACACATTAACTATTAAAGTAAAAGCATGCATTAAAAAGGAGAGAGATTAAGTCGAATGGCAGTAATTGGTTTGAACATCACATCTTTCATACTGCAGTCATATCATCACACCACTACAGATGTGTGATGTTGCTGAGGACTTTGAATTATTGAACACCTGTGGGTCAGTAAATTGAAAGGAAAAGTTTGTAACATTTCTCGCTTGCTGTTTACAAAAATAAACCCGTTCTCTCTCCGACATAGGGGTTCTGAGCCAGGAGTGGATTATTGATACCTGGATGTTTGCCATGACACAGAGCTCCCCGGTTTGGTGGAGCTGAGCTCCACAATGCCGGCATTTTTAACACGGGCCACCAGTTTGGACACGGCTTCATTTTGCATTTTGTGAAATTAAAAAGGTCATAGCTCAAAAAATAAATAAATCATCCGCCAATATGACCCTGAGGATGTCCATGGTGTTGTGTAAATTAGCATTGATGCTACACTGTCTAAGTTTTCTCATTTCTTTTTGTTCTAGGACTGTGTTCAGGGGAGGAAATAATGCCCCCTGGAGTTAAGTCAAATGAAAAGAAAACCCCCCAAGGTAGGTCTCAATTTTACTGTTGTCAAATCATGGTACATGTACCTCTGGTGGTAGCCGTGCTCCCTCTGGTGTTATACCGAGATCCTGGTTCCCAGTAGTATACGGTATCTTAGGATACAACACATTCAAAGGTGGCATGCCTTTAAACCACTGACCCTAAACAATTGTATATACTTGTGTGTATATGCAGTATATACCCTTGTGTTTATATAAATACTTGATGTCCAAAGTCCCAGATGTGCCTTACTTGAGTTGGTCGATCACTATTGGTGCTGGAGATTCGATAAGGAATCATGATACAGGGGCAACAATACGACACATTGCGGGTGTACGACACAAGTTGGAATATAAAATCGGAAACAGAGGGATCTACATTTGTAATCACTAGTGAAGAAATTAAACAAAAACAACGAGTCAACACCATGAGTACTTTCTTGTTGTTAATTGTTTACACAAGGAAATCAATGCAGTCACGAAGACTATCGATTGATCAATATCGTAAAATGAAATATTGTTATGTTTCAGTGTACACCTTCACTTCTTGTGAAGAACACTGTTAAAAATCGACCTCGAAATTCAAACTGTGCCCATAGCGCCACCTACAGGCGAAGGAGGGAGAGTGTAAAAAATACTCTTGAAATCTAATTTACTGCATATTTTTGTACATCTGTATGTGCTGTATTGAATAGTAAACATAATTATATTATTATCTTCATTATGTTTTCAGAAATATTTTCTACATATTGCTTATACTTTTTATATTCCTCTCTTGTTTCTTGTAATACATTGTAGCTGTATATATTTCAGATTCAGTTTGTAGACATTAAATGAGAATTATGGCATCCAGTACTACAAGAGTTCATCTATAAGAACACAAAAGCCAAACAAACCTTCAGGAAAAACAGGAGGAACTCGTTTTATTTTTTGTTATTGGTTTTCTCAAACTTTCAGGAAAAACAGGAGGAAATCGTTTTATTTTTTGTTATTGGTTTTCTATTACATGTGCTCAGTACATTTTGTGCTTATATTCTTGTTCCTCTCCTTGATGGGTCCTTGAATAACCTGGTAATGAACTAGGGCTTCTGCTGTTGTGTGCCTGAGGTACGCTGCTAATGGTCTTGAGTCTGTGAAAGGCTTATTTTAAAAAAACATGAACATAGGATGAAGTGCTTTGATTTTGAGTGCGTTTTTTGTCACGTACGTCGTGCATCGCAGGAAGCAGGCAGGACCCAAATGCAGTACTGCTGAGACTCTTTCTGCTGCAGGTAGTTTTATTAACAAAGTCCAAATTAACGAAACACGAAGAACTACCAGGCATGGAATTCTCTTTGTAACACGGAACACGAGGAAACACAGAACAGGAAACTAACGAACTGCTACAGAACACGAACAGCCTGACAGAACGAACTGAACAACGATCCAACTACAATGATCAAACACAATCACAGTCACAATCACAATGATCCAACCCCACAAAGACAACAGGAAAAGGAAACAGACAGACATGACAGTTTTACAAAGTTGAAACATGAGCCATTATTTTGGAAACTTTTTAACATTCACATTCCAATTGAGGTGAACATGAAAAGCTACAAAACTGAGGGAGACAAACCGATAGGGAACCATGTTGTTGTTGAATACAGTATACAGCTGCTTTATAGCTCTTTAAAAATAAAACTGCTGTTCCTGCTGTTATTCCGTTTGCTGGCTTGTTTGTAGCTTTTCTTTGTGACCACAAACTGGACGACACACAGTGTGCTCACAGATCTGCTGCTTGTCACTAGGCAACCTCTCGTTGCTGTATTTTGGCCAGCCTGAAGTTGGTTATTAAGATGCTGTGCTCTCACTTTTAGATAATTGACGTGATCTTTGACTAGCAGACCAATTACACAGAAATAACCCTTGTCCGTGATTGCATCATCTCATTGTATGCTGTTTTTTAATGGCCCACGGACAAAAGAATGTAAGGAATGTCTGCAGTGTGATCCGGAGCATCTGACTCTCACCTTGTTGAGCACATGGCACAGCCAGAGGTTAGAGTATTTAGCCCTTGGACAAAAAAAAGTTTTCATATCAATTATCATTTCATCAACTGTACTTGTTGAGTAATATAATAATTAACTAGAGAAAAGGTACATTTGCTCTGATGATTTCTTTTTTAAATATTTTTTGCCTGTGTGTCTTGTGCAGAAACTGAAAAATTCCAATGAAAAGAAGTTGAATCATCTCCAAGAAGCACAAGCAAGTCGAGTTTCCTGCTAGGACACGGTAACGGATTATTGAATCTAAACATGTAACATCAAAGACATGATGCTGGAATCTTGGACATACCCTGGTCTAGGACATAGTACGGTCTAGTTTAGACGTGGGCAAACTTTTTAACTGGCAGGCTAAAATGCTAAAATGCTTTTAATCATTTTCAACGCCATCTATTGGGGAAACCTGGGTATTGCAGGGAAAAGGCAGAAGTATAATGATATAATTAAATTATATTATTTGGAAAAGTTTGGTGGGCCGGATTAAGAAGCTGAACTGGGCCACATACGATCCCCGGGCCTTAGTTTGCCCATGCCTGGTCTAGTTTACAGGAATCAGGCTTTTTACCAAAGGCATTACTGGTTCAAATTTCTCTCCTCTCTTGCTGGGCACTGCCAACAGTACTCACAGCACTGCTTCAGAACGATGGGCAGATCATCGTCATTTCACACCTGTCAACCCTCCTTGACCAGTGGACTCCTCTGGCTCTAGACGCTTCCAAAACGTCTACCTGCAGGGTCCCTTGTGCCAACAGGCTGTCAGTTCTTTACCTGCACTTCAATGTCAGATGAGCCACTGGAGAAAACAGAAGATCCCGGTACTCTGAACGCGATTCAGCTTTTTCTTGTGCTAAACCCATCTGGCTTTAGTGATTACCAGCAGTTTCCCCTCATGTTACCTTGACGACCCCACTGTCGACCCCACTGTCTTCAACACCATCTAACAACTTGTGACAGATTGCCGCGGTTGATCAGCGCAGGCCACAGTGCGTCCAGTTGGTCAGTGTGCCGTCTGATCTGGTATGCGTTGTCTGTTGTAGCTCGCAATGTTCTCCGATACTGGTCAGAGAAAAAATGTAAAATATAACAAAGAGGAAGAGGTGGTCAACAACAAACGCCTTCCTCAGAAGCAGAGAACAGAGAATCCAGGGTTCAATTCCCAGAGGAACCACATGCTTGGCGCTTGCTTGGTGCAGTCTGTTAACAGCATATCTGCTGCTAACACAACAATTTCCCAAATATGGGCTCAGTATTAGTACAAATGTATCTTTGTATTATTATTATTATTATTATTGAATCAATGACCAAAGATAAAACCATTCTCTGGCTTCTTTCAGACTCTTCCACCTAAGGAGTTTCTTTTTCTCCGCCCCTGGGCTGAGACAACTGTCATTTACATCTCCATTGTAAAAGACAGTTGTCTCAGATCTGATCCCTGAGGCACTCGACTCCCACCACATCAAACCACTGTTTCATTGTCATCACTCAAGTGCTGACCCCTTGAGTTTGACTACTGTATAGTTCCACATTTCTTCTCTTGCAGGTGAGTTGCTCTTGTAGTAGACTTCAGTACTGTCACACTTTCAGAGCAAGAACGTTCAGTTATTTTACTTAAAAAAAAACCCCAATCCATATTGAATTATTTTTGCTTCTATAATATTGTGTTACAGTGACATATTGAGAGGTTGATAAAGGATAAACAGACATGGTTGAGGTTTACCTCTCACATGCAGTACCATGTGACCATCAAGGCACCGACTGTGAGCAGACCAGCAGTAACCAGCCTGTTCTTTTGTTCCTGCCAGTTGTTGGCACTGAGGTAAACAAAAACCTGAAAAATAAGAAAACTCACCCACTGCTTCCTCTTTCCTTAATGATTCCACCTTTTCACTGGCTGAGCAGCATCCCTCGATCACATGCATCACCACTTGACGAGCTTGTGCTGTTCTGACAAATCACAAGAGCTCTTGTGATGTCATCTCACTGATAATTACTCTGGTTTGTAAAGGTCACAAACATTGGTATCAGATTGAGTTTAACAGTTTGTACTGAACACACACCTACTTGAACACATGTATGTAAAAAAAAAAAAAACATATCCTGATCGTAAGTTATTGTGGTTACTGAAGATAAACCAACATTCCTAAATGTGACAAAAATGTTCTTTCTAATTTTTGTTGTTTTTATTTGAGACTCATACAAATGATATAATTGTTTATCTCACTTCCAGACGACGAAATCCACATCTGCCCCAAGACAAGTAATAATAATTGGCCTTGAAAGTTTTCTTTCAATTACTATAATTCTTTAGTTGAGAACCAGAAAAAAAATGTTTTGCTATTTTTTTGTAGTGCATTATTTATAATAATGATTTTTTTTTTTAAATATCTGGGGTGTTCTTGTATTAAACATAAACCGCTGATGCAGTGCACACACAAAATGAAGTGGATTTCAGCTCATCCTGGTTTGAGACCCCTGTTTTAGATATCGTACAGTAAAACTTTACTATAAAACAGTTATTAGCGAAACGTTTGCTTAATGAAAACATTTATGGCTAATTAGAGATTTGCATCTATTTGCATGTGCCTTTCCCCAGAGCAGTGGAACGTACAGGGTCTCAGCAAAGGGAGCGGAGGGAGCTCCCAGCAGAACACTACAACACTGCGAGGTGAGGGTATTCTGTATGTACGCACATTGTACTACATCAACGTAGGTGAGAGTAGGATCTTTCTCTGTGATAGAGCACCAACACGTCACAACAAATACCAGCGGCTGATCACTGGACCAGACTGAATCAATCATTGGACTAGATGAGCCTTTTACAACAATCGTCCACATTCTCCTTACCAGCCCATGTGACTCTGCCTGAGCTGCCCCCTGGCATTTACTAGAGTACTGTGGAGACTGAGGAGAACAGTGGGGCTTGTGGGGATGTCTTAAATACACCCACCGCCACCTCTCCCCCCTGTTCATTCTCTTCATCCCTAACATCACCACTGCTCTGCTCAGCTCAGAGCAGGAGAACTTCACACAGAACTTCACATTTAGACTTAATCTTCATGGACCTCGCTCAGCTATGCAGTAGAAAGGAGGATTAACCCAAGCTGAGCACCGACCAGCACCGAGTCTGGGAAACACCTTTTCTTTTCTTTTTTTGTTGTTGTTGGTGGACAGTCAAGGTGGACTGAGACGGACGGACACACACTCTGTTGTGTTGGGGTTTTTTTTTCTTTCTAAATCTTCCTCTCCTTCCCTTCTTCCTGTCACCCTTCTCTCTCCCCTCTGTCAACCATGACTCTGTCATCTGACGACCAGTCCGTGAGGCCTCCACCCTGTCCGATGCTGGAGCCCGGCAAGCACTTGAACAACTCTCTGCACCAATACTCATCCACAGAATGCAACGACTACAAAGAGGACTGTACCGACAGCGCTGTGTTTGGAGCCGTGGAGCCCCCCAGACGCTCACGGGGGCGTCTCCTACTCCACGGCCTTGTCATGTTCGGAAGGGAATTTTGCTATGCGGTGGAGGCGGCCTTTGTCACGCCGGTGCTCCTGAGCGTGGGCCTTCCCCGCAGCCTCTACAGCCTGGTGTGGCTCATCAGTCCCATCCTGGGGTTCCTGCTGCCGCCCATCATCGGCTCAGCCAGCGATTACTGCCGTTCGAGGTGGGGCAGACGGAGACCCTACATTCTGTCCCTGGGGATCCTAATGCTGCTGGGTCTCACCCTGTTCCTCAACGGAGATGCTGTCGTCTCAGGTGAGGGTTTGCTGCTGTTTGTGTGCGTACCATGTAAGCTCTTTAAACGTTAACAAATCAGTCATGAAAGTCAAAAGGTAAACATGGTTAATAAGTGTTTGACTCATGAGCTCCTGCAGTGTGTCCCGAAAGATGATGGTCAGACATTTTCTTAAGGCAATTAAACAGCATGTCTTTGGGAAGCATCACGAGAAAAATATTTTTTTAGATAGAAAATAAAAAGTGTTGGTTGAGTCAAGACCTCTTTTATTTTTTTATCCCAGAAAAGTTTGATTGCGGAGCTTCAAGTACTTGGGTGACATTCTTCACATCTCAGTATGTACACAGATCATGGAGGGTTGACACAGATATGTGTATTATAAATTTGACTTTTTGTATTGATTCAAATAAGAAACTTAAATCATTCTTAATGAAATACAAAACTTTTCTTGTTTGTGGCCAACTTAACTTTTCTTTTCCCTGCAAACTTTACCCTTACTCTATGTATCATTTTTAATGACCAGAATATTGCTACTCTATGATTTTAATTTTTATTCTTAGTCCTAAGTAATAAAAAAAATAGGTTGGTTTGGTATTTTTAGACTTGTGTTAGACCAGTGGTTTTTAATTATTTTTCGTCATGCTCCCCCTTGGGGACAGAAATGTTTTCACGCCTCCCTGGCCCCCCGGACCCACACCGCAAATTGAAATACTATTGAGAACTTGATAACGTATATTTTTATCTGTACAAACCACTGTATGAGTTGCTGCCACCTAGTGACTGGAGGCTTGTTATCATTCAAGCATTACAGCAGTAGTACACTAAATGTCTAGTATGCCATATTCTACTCGAGTTTTGCTACTTCGCAATCTGTGTTTCTCTATTAGTTGGTTGCACAACACTTGGTCTTTGAATTTTAGTTGTCAGTGAACTTCAGTTTTCCTGACTTTTTTGCTTCGTCTGCTGCCTCCTCCAGCTGGTTCTCTCCTCCTCTTTCTCTCATCTTTAGCCGTGCTGACATTTGAACGACACCAGCAGAATAAATTTGTGACTTTTGAAGAGTACATGCGGGAATAATTTGGGTTTGAAGAGCCAAATAATAATTTAAATGGTTATTGGATTTTTTCTTTGATGACAGAACTACATCTAGTGTTCTGTCTAATAGTTTACCTGATGAAAACTGCAAATGCAATTTGCAAACTTCAGGCTGCTGTTGATTGTAGATAAATATTAATATTATTTCCAGATTTTGCTTTCATCAGGACTCAGCCTTTTTTTTGTAATATTTGAACTTTGTTTCCAAAGGTTCCAGTAACCATTTTGGCCGCATGGCCGTTATTATTATTATTATTTTCTGCTGTAAGCTGTTTATGGAGGTTGTAGCTCTATGATCCTGAAGGTTTCTCGGGTTCTGTGTGACATATTTACTCTTTTGTTCCTGCCTCCAGTATGATCTGAAAGAGCAGCAGCTCGTTGTCCTGTAAAAAGACTATATGTTCTCTATGTCGTCTCAGTTTTTAGCTGGAAAACAGATCATTAGAGACACAGTCACAGTCACACTGGCAGTAACTGGATTAATTTGCAGCACACCACTAAATTAGCTCTACTATCGGTAACTTGTTTTTTTAACACATTTTCACCTACTCAGTGGATAAACACTATTCAGTGCGTGTTATTTATTAACTTCACAGCAGCTGTGACACTTTCTGAAAGAAATTTGAGAAATTGAGAAGTTTTATAAAATATGTGTATTCTGCTGTAGTGAAGCAGTGACCAAATGTGTGTGTGTGTGTGTGTTGCAGAGATAAGCAGTGACAGGTCACAGAGGAGGACGTGGGCCATAGTGGTGGTGATGCTGGGTGTGGTGTTGTTCGACTTCGCTGCAGACTTCATCGACGGGCCCATCAAGGCCTACCTGTTCGATGTGTGTTCACACCAGGACAAGGAACGAGGACTACACTACCACGCTCTGCTCACAGGTGCGTGCCCACTCCCCCCACACCCCCTTCTCAGAGGTCACATTTGGTGGTGTGCAGTGGTGAGCTGTGTCACAATGACAAGGAGTTCACTTTCCTTCACTTCCCTTAAACTAACGTCACATCAAAAGGACTGAGGAAATTTAGTTCTGTCCAGTGGTTTACCTGATGAAAGCTGAAAATGCAATTTAGTAACGAATGAAAAGGCTGCTGCACACCATTGATACTTCAGGAAGGTTACTTTAGGAAGGTTTAGGGGGGTTGGTACGGTGCAATGTGATTTGGGTGGTGACGGATGGATGGATGGACACCATTGATAAGAATTCATATTATTTCCTCCAGCCATTTTATTTTTATAAAAATTAAAGCAGAGACTTCTACGCAGCTCTGGATTTTTGGTTCTTCCAGGTACAATCAATCACTGTTTCTGCTTTTCTTTGGCAGACTTTCTTTTAACTTTTGGCACAAAGTTCTTATTTCGCCATCAGTTGGTAATTTTTTGCAACATGTTTGGCTAACACTTGTTATTAACGTATATATTTTTACTATGTATTTGAGCTATTATTGATGTTAATAATATCCTCGTTTAATTGTCAGCTAAACTTTAATTAATCTCATTTTAATTAAAGTTTTAAAAGTAAATTAGGTATTTGATGTGCTATATTAATGATATATGTATATATATATATATCTATATATATATATATCATGATGGTTCAATCACAATGGGAGGAAATGGAAAAAAAAACCTGTCAAATGTTGCTTTGCTGTGATTTCTGCTGCTGAAGGAAACTCACTCTTGTTGGTCTGGAACTTCATTTATTCAAAGAAAATGAAGTTCACTTTCGCAAAACTAAATTATAGTCCAAGTATCACAGCCAGTGAGCAGAGGGAATTTTACATAATTAAAAAAAAAAAGCAAAACATTTGTACAGTCCTAATTTCTATGGTTTGTTTTTCTTTCCAGATGTATTTTGTGGCTCCACAGTTTTTAGCTGAGTAACCTCTCCTGGTGTATATCAGTGTTTCTCACAGTGCAAACGCAATAACGTCGAATCCACAGTGGAATAGAGCGATAAAAACAATGTCACGCACAGGATATATAGCTGCTCTTTATAACTGTGTTTCCAAACCTCTTAGCACCAGAGAACCACCTTGATAGGACGATGAATTACTGTAGAAGTTGGATTTATTTATTTTTTATTATTTTCTCAGTTATATCTTGGTTTTTCAGATACAGTTTTGTTTAAGTCTTTAGATCCAGAACGGGAAAACATCTGCACCAGTTACAACAAATCACTTAAACTCTGTGTTATAACAGATTTTTTAAAACTACTTTTGTGACATATACACATTATTTCCCCATGTACTAAAATCCACAACGATTGACAAGATGTGAGGTTTTTTTTTAAACCATCAAAGCCTACAAGCTTCTAACACTTTTACAGCCATGCTAATGGTATTAGCCATACCATTAGCATGGCTGTAAAAGTGTATTTGAACCATAAAGTGTCCATAATGTAGTGTTTCTAAATTATAAGTGAAAGTCTGTGAGGAAGAATAAAAACTTCAATCTGGGGTTGTGAAGTGAACCTGTGAGGAAGAATAAAAAAAGAAACTTCAATCTGGGGTTGTGAAGTGAAGCTCCACAGTTGATGACAGTAAATCGATGTAACAATCTACTATCAATTCAATCATATTATTCCACTGTCAACACGGGATTCTGAACACAGTTTTACACTTCATGATTCGTCACACTGTGGCTTCTCTCTAGAGAAAACTCCCGATCCTGTAACAGCCATACAGACTGGCCTTACTTTCATTTTGTTCTGTTTGTTTGTACTGACCAGTAGATTACATTTCTGCATCTGAATCGTCTCGGCTGTCTACACACATTATGACTCACTCGTCCCCTGGTTCTGTTCTCTCTCTCTCTGTGAGGAGGTTGTTTTTCCCGCCGCTCTTTTAATAGTTTCACACATTATTACTCATGGAGAATAGTTTCCCTAATGGAGCATTTCTCTCCTGTATACGTCCTCTTGGATAATTACAAAGCTCACATTACCGCTGAAAAGACCGTTTTATTGGCACACACGTATCAACGGCATCTCTGAGGACGCACTGCACCGTGACGCCGGACAGGAAATGAAATGCTGTAGGTCAGTCGGGCTGGAGATAAAATGTTTGTTTGAGATTCTCGGAGTGAGTTTGATGTGTTCAGTTAGGGCAGCGGCAGAGGCAGAGACTGTCAGCTGTTGAGCGGGTCGAGCGGTAATCCCCCCCTTAGCTAGTCACGGGTCTGAGTCATGGGTCTCGGCTGAGGGAGAGAGAGTGAGAGACAGAGAGTCAGAAAGGAGGTAGAGTGAGGGAGACGGGGCCGCCGAACACATGACTGTTTTGACTGCGCTTCCACCACATGTGAGAGTCAAAAGGGAGGAAGAGGAATGTTCAAAAGAGATCTGTTAAAGCGTTGTCCTGTTCTGGGTAAATGTCAGTGTTGTTATTATTATTTTATGAATTAATTTACTCTACCTTTGGCTCTCTCTCTCTCTCTCTCTCTCTCTATATATATATATATATATTTAAAATTAAATTATCTCTTATCAGTGTATTTTAAAGCTATTTTATTGTCATTCCTAAATTATTTTCATAATTACATACACTAACAAAGTAATGGGGGCCTTGACTTCAGAGAATTGTGATTCTTTGGTGGCGGCCATTTTGAATTAAGTCAGGGATACACCTGTGGCATTAGCAGGGCCACAGTTTGCTCTTAGCATTGGCCACATAGGGAGCCTATACCGCCACCTGGTGGAGTTGCTGATGCTGTAACCCCTTAGGGAAAACACCCCCCCAAAAACAATCAGGATGATAAGGGACACCAAAAAGTATAATTTTTAAATGTTATAAAAAAAGTTAAAATTTATCATCCAGAATTTCCTTGGACCACATTGAATTGTTCCCTCTGGGATGTCCACAATTTTTTTTTCTAAATTATGTTTGATGTGTTCTATCTCGACCAGGTAATTTTCTCCCGGAAATTAAAACGAAGGACTGTCTTGGTTTCTAGATGATGCTTCACTTCTTTGAACTGAAGGAGAAACCGGGACAGTCTGGTTTTCACTGCTTTTATTTGATCTTTTTTATCAAGAAATAATTTGAGACGTTCTTCTCTGTTCAATTATTGATTCACATCTCAAACTCTTTTCCATAGAAAAGCATGAAGATGAAGACGACATGTGGATTTCTTGTTTCAAGCCTGTGACACTGACGCCTGTGGATGAAGACAACATGTGGATTTCTTGTTTCAAGCCTGTGACACTGACGCCTGTGAACTGTGTAATCCACAACACATGCTCAGTCTGGGCCAGGCTCATGGTTCAAAACACCGAGACTTAATACATTAAATCTGGATGTTAGAGATAAATAGATGACATCAAGCGGAGATGTCTTTGTTCGTTTATTTGGATTTTGTGTATAATTTGACATGGATAAACAGTATTCACAGCCATGGAGCTCAAAGTCTGACATTTATGACTCTCTGAATTTTTAATTGCTGTGCTAGTCCACTTCTCTTTCACTCCTTGAAGTGTCCCAATTAAATAAGGTCTAACCAAGCATGCAAAAAAAAAAAAAAAAAACCCACTGCCTTCCACATCAGCATTCAACAAATTCAAATAGCTTTACTTAAATGGTTGTTTTTCCCTGGCTGTGATATTGATTCTTTGAACTTTAAATACGCCGTGTTATGTTTGTATAATGTATGAGGCTGCGACACCGCGGCGTTCGACCTCTGTTATTATTTGCTTGGCTCACGGCTTCATCCTTGAAACTAAAAGAAAAGAAAATGAGTATTCAGTTTGTTGGGTTTATTTTATATAACTGTTCTGTCAGCCATTTGGATTGATAACTCCTGGAAACACGAGGGCAATGACGTGTGTTGGGGGGAAAGAACTCAGTGCCTTCATCATATTGAGTCTCGGTTTGCATTTTAGAGTCAGACAGTAATTCAAAGTAATATCTCTCCTGACTTCTGCTGTGTCACTGCACCAGCAGAAACTGGAGTTCAGTGACACTCGACTGAGGGGCAGGATGAGGATGTTGAACCAGGAGAAACTGTTCTGTGGAGAATGCAAAGACTGAATGGATGGATGTGGCTCCTGGAGTGGTTATTATTTCAGAAATGTAAAAGAATTGCTTCCATTGCTCAAGTTCCTTGCCACTTCGAGTCATGATCACTGCTGTGTGAGGATGAAATGATTTGAATCAGTCAATTACAGTGAACTCCCGAGATACAAGTTTAATCCGTTCCACAACAGCATTCGTATCCACTGGTATCTCAATTGCATTTCCCCCATTAAAAATAACTGAAAACCAATTATAATTATACTATAAATTAATTAATTTAAAATCCCCCATCTAAGAAAACATTTTATATTGTTGTTATAAAAATGGGTAAAATAACCCAGCGAGGGACAGTGAGCGAGACAGTGTCAAGTGGAAAAATGGAGCAAACATTTGTGCCACATCTCTGCCAAAAGTGGCAAACATTTGTGCCACATCTCTGCCAAACTAAAACAGAGTTGGGCTTCGTTAGTTCAGTACAGTAGGTTGGAAAAAACACATTGTCATTCATTCTGGACTGGTAGTTAAAATGTGGTCCACGTCTATGAACATTCTCAGTCATCCAGGTCATGGTCAAGGTTGAAGAGTTCCATCTGGCGGCTGGACATTACATTTTCTCAAGAAGACGTTTCACCTCTCATCCAAGAGGCCTCTTCAGTTCTTCGTGAACTGGCCCGTATTTTTCTGAACCCATATGGTCCATATAATCTTTCCAAATTTACGCCCATTTTCCTCACATCGGTGTCTGACCAATCCAAATCTGTCTGGTCCATATCTAGTACTCTGAGCACCACGGTCAACCTGACTAACTTTACTGAGCCATATCTGGGGTTCATAATATAAACCACATTGCTGTAACCTTCACAGTTAACCACATCAACTTGTTTGGTCCACATGTTGGTAAACCACATTGCTGTAACCTTCACAATTAACCACATCAACTTGTTTGGTCCACACATGGTCTACACACACTTGTAGACCTGACTGTTTAACACACAATCTTCAGGACCTTGTCTAATTATTTTTGTCCACACGTGATAATCAAACTGTGGGGCACATATCTGACTGCGTACAGTTACAGATCAGTACCAGGTCCGATGATGTCAGTGATTACAAACCATCATTCAGTTGTCATACGTGTGGATGTTTGAACCTGTCTGTGTGTGTGTGGTTGAATTAGAGATGACTTTTCTGGCTTTAGTTTTTTGGATTTATTTTCTGCCTCATTGAGACTTTTACCCAAACCAAATCACTACCTGACAAACTACTGTAATTCATGTTCTGAAATCTCTATTTACAACAGAATAGACACCAGAGGGGGGAATGTTAATCAGTTTTTAAAAAAGAGTACAGACAGTATTAGTTGTCGCTGGAGCTAGTGAGCACAGTCTGAAATTTTCTGTCTAACCTCAAAGTCCAAACATCAAAACATCTCAGTGGGACTTGTTCACCGCCTGTATATTTGGCTCAACTCTGAGTCACATTAGTAATGCTTGAGTGGGGGTTGGTGAACTAGATGTAATCTAGTACAGAGTTTCAAATACAGAGTTTCCTTCTTCCTGACGTCCTTGATTTGACTCTATGAATAATTTCCACCTTGATTGGCAATTTCCTGTTTTTGCTGCAGCTGTAAAATGTTCTGTAGAAAAGAGAGACACATCCTGTGTAATTGTTAATATTTTAAAGGACATTTTTCCAGCTGGACATTTGTTTGCAGTCGGTTAGATACAGATACAGGATTATAAGTAGAAACACCGTGACACAATTATCAACCTGTCATGGAGATGGTTCCATCAGTAAAAGCTGCCAAATCACTACACGTACTGTACTACCACAAAGAGTTTTGGAAGGTAATTCTGGACTACACTGCCATTTTCATTTTGTATCCTTTCCCCCAGTCTTTGTTATACTGTTTTGTTTTGTTTTTTATCATAAATTAGGAGTATACCTAAGCCTACAGAAGAAAATTCTTTAATTACATTCTTTAATCTATGCAAAACAAATGTTATTTAATCTTGATGAATCAACATTGGTTATTATATTATTAATTACAATGACTATTTATCATGATTAAATTTTAATCTTGACACCTGTAAAAAATGACCAAGACTTATTTTAACCTGGTTGTTTAATCAATGTCTCTGTGTGGTTCCAGGCCTGGGCGGAGCCTTCGGTTACCTGGTAGGAGCCATGGACTGGGGTCATTCGGTTCTGGGCCAGCTCCTGGGTTCTGAGTACCAAGTCATCTACTTTTTTTCCGCCTTGACCTGGAGCATCTTCCTCACAGTGCACCTCTTCAGTATTCCAGAACAACCTCTGGACAAGGACCCTTTTGACTCGGATTTGTCACCTCCAAGTGCCCTTCGCATGTTAGGTAACCACTGCAGCGGTTATGGAACGCTCTCCAAAGAACCCGTCCTCCGAGTGTCCATCTCAGACGTTAGGCCGAGGTCGTTCTCCGCTCTGGGGGAGGCCAACTCAGTGACCTCTAGTGCCAAGCAGCCAAACAAAGAGGTATGTAGCTGTCAGCAATCCCAGTCGAGGCTACTGTTTGTTTTGTGAACGTCTGTCGAGAGCAGACTCTATTGTCGTCCAGATGTACGACAAAAGAAAATACATGGTCACAGAAGAAAGAAAGAAACTCGGCAGCAGAATGTTGTCAACCACGAGCAGAAAGTGCATTCATACAGGTCTTTATCAGAAACATACAGTTGTTTTTAAAGAAGTGTTGGGCACAATTGGAGGAATCAAGCCTCTCTTTATATTACTAGGAGCCGACACCAAGAAGCGAGGAGAGTGAGCAGAAGAGTGAATAAAATAAAAAAATTTAAAAAATCCATGATGTACTGAGGGCGCAAAAGGAGAACCGCGATATAGAGAGGGGGCACTGTAGTTGTATAAGTTGTATGTATAAGTCCAGACGCAGGTCCATTTAGCGTTTTAAAAAATATTTTTAATGAGAAGAAAATATTTTTGAATTATGAAATACAGCATTTTAAAACTCACACAGCAGAGAGCAGAGAAGCAAATGTAAAGTGACGGGGTGAAAAAATCGCAGCTGGAACTGTTAGAAATCTGTGATCTGTCATTTACTGACGTCACGGATGAATCAAAACAGATTTTGATCTTTTCATGTAAACATTTTGGACTCGGTTTAAAAAGATAATGTGTTTACTGCCCGCTACATAAACGGATGTAGGTTGATCTAAAGGCTGGAGTATCCACTTTAAATTTCCACTGAAGCATAAAAGTACTTGCCTTCATATATACTTAAGTAATAAAAGTAGTATCGTGATTAGTTCTTCATTCTTGAACGAGGAAACTGTTTTGTGCTTCGACAGAGAAAACACTTCAAATGAAACTAGTCCTTCATCCTTTCTTCTGATTCAAAAGCAGTTGTGTGGTGAGCCCTGATTGGTTACTGTGCATTCGCTTCGACCTCATTATTTGATTCGCTTTGATTAAAAAAAAAAATAGAAAGACGACGTTTCACTAAATGTAATGCAGTAAAGTAGAAGTAAAGTATGAATTTTTTACTTTTTTCGGTTTTTCCTCCCATATTGAAAACCCAATAACGCAATGCCTGGCCTTCGCGAAATAACGTGTGCTCTAAAAATAGTTTATTGCCCCGGCAACAGACCAGTCACATGCCTCAGTGCTTTGAAGAACTTTTATTTAAGTTTTACTTCTGTCCCCTGAGGGGGGCGGGGGAGGAGGGTATGGCTTTAACCCTTCACCTTAGTGAGCAGGTATGGCTTTAACCTTTCACCTTAGTGAGCAGGCAGCAGTTAACTTCCTTAACCACTAGGCCACCACTGCCCCCTATATTGGTATTGGTTAATATCGGAGTTATTGGAAGTGTTTGAACAATATTGACATATAGGATATCGGCAAAAAGTTAATATCGGCCATCCCTAATCTTTACATCTACTATACGTCACTACTGTCCACCACTGTCCACTACTGACTTTCCACAGTCAATCTTTCTGCGCTGCTGACAGATTAAAGCGAACACAGTTTGTCCCTTTCTGCTGTTGTCAGAGAGATGGCGATAACTTTTGATTCTCTCCACCTGATTTCAACAGCTTCCTATTTTATTTTTCATTGCAAAGTATTAGCATGCAATGCAACAACATCACAGCTGAGGCTGAGGTTGATAAAAAAAATTAAATGTCAACAAAAATCCATCCAGTAGTTGTCAAGACAACGAGTTTGAAAATTAACACGTCAGGTCCGGAATCACCTAAACCCTTATCCTGGATCCTCAGGGAACCACGAACGTCTGTGCCAAGGATTGATGACAGTCAATCTTGACAGAGTCTGTTCTGCTTAGTGAAGGTGAAGGGTAATTGGATCGCAGGCCGCAATTATAATGCAGCGTGATATGTGCTCGCAATCCATCATTTAAATAGTGATGTGTTACTACATAATTTATATACTGTTGCTGCAGAAACCAGGTGTACTGCAAAAATATTCTATGACGATGTCATAAGTCAAACTTGGATATATTCTGTACATGGTGCACGTGCTGTACTATAGTATTACTAAATTTATTTAAGTAATAAAAGTAGATTTTTTTAGGTCTTAGAAAAAATCAGTTTTTCTCTCTTTTTAGTGTCCTGATAAAGTCTGATTTGCTTTTTAATTCAGACACACTCTTGTCTCTCCAGACTTTTAATGACATGCTCATAACATCTTGCTGCCATAAAAAGTGTCTCATGATCTACCGCTGCTGTAATTACTTACAGAAAGACATATTTCCAGTCTTGCTGAAAGGTGTTCAGTCCTAATGTTTTACAGTTTGAGTTCCCTTTTTACAAGGGCCTATAAAAGTCAGAGGTCGGAACAAGCTGGTGAGACTATGAACGACTGTCATACAGTGGTGGAGTGGTTGATGCCCTTGCCTTACACAAACTAGAGACCCTCCCGCCCCCATCCCCGCGCTTTCTCCGCCCACCAGCCCTGCAAAGGATTACGCAAGAGAAGATGAATGATTGTAAGAAAAAAGACAATAGAATCAAAATGACAGTCTGAAAAATATGTGCAAATATGACAGTCAGTAATTAAAGGCCTTCATTAAAAACCAATTAAAAATGGTTAAAAAATTAAGATTTGTTACATTTGTCTAAAAAAGACAAATCTAACAATTATTTAGCAACTGGAACACAAATCTGCCTTCTACCACCTGACCTATTAGATTAGATCAGATTAGATTAGTTTAAATCAGATTAGATTAGTTTAGATTAGATTAGATTAGATTAGATCAGATTAGATTAGATCAGATTAGATTAGATTAGATTAGTTTAGATCAGATTAGATTAGATTAGATCAGATCAGATCAGATTAGATTAGATTAGATTAGTTTAGATCAGATTAGATTAGATTAGATCAGATCAGATCAGATTAGATTAGATTAGATTAGTTTAGATCAGATTAGATTAGATTAGATCAGATCAGATCAGATTAGATTAGATTAGATTAGCGAGTGGAGTGGATTTGATTTTAATTTGATTTGATTACATTGGATTGCTTCGTTTAAATCAGATTATATTGGAATAGTTTAGATTAGACTGGATTGTATTGAATTGGATTAGTTCAGATTGGATCACATTGGATTAGATTAGGTCATAAAACCTTAGATTAGGAAAGAGGTTACAAGAAATGGCAATTAGAACATTAGGTCATAAAACCTTAGATTAGGCAAGAGGTTACAAGAAATGGCAATTAGAAACAGATTAAAGTCCGTGGTGCCAAACTGGGCTAGAGAGCCCTTTTACAAGTAAAATTAAAAAAAGGAAAATGTTCGGAGAAATTTTAAAATAAGTTTGAATCGTAGAAAATATGTCACCTTCTTATTTACATGAGGAAATGGAAACAAAGATGGTGTGATTTGGATTATAGCTGCACCTTTTGTCAAGATATTGCAAGGGAGTTGAATATATTGCTTCTTCCTTTTTTCTGAAAACCAAAACATTTGTGACTAACATGAAATGGAGATGTTCGACAGTCAAGGTGAAGTTGCTGCAGCTGCAGCACAGATTGCAAGAAAATACATTACGTTATTTTAGTTTGAGCGTTTATTTAAGGTCACAACCAAAACATTGTGACTAAACAAATTTAGTTTGAGCGTTTATTTAAGGTCACAACGTATTGAAAGGAATTTGTATCAGTAACTTAATCACATGTAAGCATTTGTATTTAAACTAAAGTGATCCACAATGAAACCTTTTTAAACCTCAAGCACAGGTGTGTTTCAATGAAACACTGATGAACTATTTCCATGGTAAATGTCCCTGAGTTCACCGTAGCTCTTTTTTTTAATCTTGCCCTTCATTTTGGGTAATTCAAAGTGGAGTGTTTAAGTGTACATATCTTGCCCCTCATTCAATTCAAAGTGGAGTGTTTAAGTGTACAAAACACGTGAAGATGGATGTCCTCAGTGAAGATGGCGTAAATGAAAAACACATGTGTTCTGAGGCCGGGTTGTTGTGGAAATCGAAATCTGAAGTGTTTTCATTTTGAACTGAGGATGCTGAGAACAGAAAGTCTTCGTTCCGTTCCATGCTGAGAAAAAAACATACAAACTCAATACGGACATACCGTTATTACTGTTACGATACAAGCTGGGAATCAAACCGCTGATTTATTTGCTGTAAGGCAAGAGAACCAACCAGTTTCCCACTATGTTGTTGTATTTGGATCAGCTCATCCCACTTGTTGGTCATAACAGTCCTCTGTGATTGTGTTCCACTGAATTGATTTCATGCTCTTCAATAACAATATTTATTCAGATCCCAATGTGTTAAATGAGAGTTGAAGTAAAGTAGAACACACTTCATGTCTCTCCCTTTTTTTCCATCCTTGGGATTAAAATCCTTCTCCGCTCTTATTCAGTTATTTTGGATTTTGTTTTTTTTTTCGTAAATGAAAAACACATTTCGATCTAATTCGATTGCTTTTTTTAAAAGGGGTTGATCACAAGGTTGAAGCATTAGAGAGCTGTATGAGAAGCATGGAAAAACCAAAGTGGCACCAAGGGCACGGTCCGGGGGGCAGTGGGCTGTGATTGGACAGTGTTGCTGCTGTAGTTGACAGTAATGTTTGTGTGGCTCCACAGGCCCAGAAGAGGATGACATTCAGTTCTCTGATGAAGACCATCGCCACCATGCCAAACCACTACCGCAGCCTGTGCGTCAGTCACCTGCTGGGCTGGACGGCGTTCCTCTGCAACATGCTCTTCTTCACTGATTTCATGGGACAGGTACAAATTTCCTTTTGTGTTTTAAATCATCAGCAACGAGTGATAAGAATCAAACATTGTTTTTGGAATAAGAGGAAAAAAGAAAAAAAAAAAAGGTCTCCGCGTTGGCCCTCATTACTGCCATCTGTCTGTTTTTCAATGAAGCTGGCGCTAATTAACCTTGCACACAATTAATGAAGCCGCCCTGATGAGGCTCTCAGTCAATGCAAAGTAAGTTTTGCTTGTGAGGAAACACACAAAGGTAACATTTTGAAATGTCACCTTTTGCTCCCATGGGCAAGTGTGAAAGGACAGACAGGAAGTGGATCCTCACTCCCATTAGTTTGATGTTTCAGGCCTCATTCAACGTGAGCAGCGCCACTGGGAGCTGATAATCTGGACGTTGTCCAGCTGTTAGCACAAGACACAACTGAACAAATGCTTTGGTGTGGAGTTAACACCATGATGCTGATGTTATAACAGGGCACACTGTTATGGACGGATTAACACTGATCAGCCACGATAAATGACTGCAGAGAATTGCTGCTTGCCCTTATCTCTCAAGAGCTTTGCTTTTAAAACAGAGATAATATTTCTTTCAGTTAACTCATGAATTGTTAAACGCTACCAGAAAAACTGCAACGTTATTCAGAAGCACCGTTGGAGCATGGTTGAAAAGGGAAATCAACAAATTATTTTTTAAGTGGTTTCCCTCAGGAGCTTCATTTACATAAACTAAATAATAATAATAATAATACATTTTATTTAAAAGCGCCTTTCAAGTCACCCAAGGACACTGTACATAAAACAAAACAAAAAACAGAACAAACAACACATACACCCGGAGAGCAGCGGCAAGATACATGCCAGCGTCCACTCTCAGTGGCCACGATGAAAAACAACTGAAAAACGATAGGGAAGGAGGAGGAAGGAAAAAAGTAAACTCCAAACTAGACCCCGTGGGGGGGGGGCGCAGTGTGGGATTTAGAAAAAACCATAAATAAGTAATAATCTCTGCAAGAGGACACCAAGACTTATAATTGTTAGGTCGCATTTGCTTAAACGTGTTTTTATTGCTTTGCAAAAGAAAAAGACTACAGGTCCGCTGGTAAAAGTTTGATTTGAAACTGCCAGACATTTTCAAAAACTAAACACAGACAAAACTTTGCGTTGTAATTCTTACAAAAGTCCTTTTCACATTAAATAGAGAATCATCAAAAAGAACAGAAATAAATTAGCTAAACTATTACAATGTGTTAGCCACGCTTGAATAGTACGTGAAGAATGAGATGGAACATGAACCTCTGAACAAATGGTACTGTTTAATTTTTCAAAAGCATTTTTACCCAATGAGAAAGAATCATTCTGAAATAAACATTTTTTCCTGATATTCCAATATTAGCTTTAGCAATAATAGTAGCTTTGGTTATATGCAGATATATCTAATGCCACAGCTAATGTTACACCCTTACAGTCTCCCTTTATGTTTGTTAATCTTTAGCTCAAAAATAGAAAGAACATGGTTTGATGGTATGTTATTGGTATATTCTGTAAGCTCTCTTCTGTACATGACACATTTCCAACACATTCAGCAGTTGTTCCCGCCTTCAGTTTATGGGCCATTAGAGTTGCTGTATCTGTCTGTGGGTCTCAAACTAAGGCCCAGGGGCCGGATGTGGCTCATTCAGCATTTTAACCCGGCCTGCCAAACTTTTCCAAATTATATAATTTGTTTATATTATCATTATACTTCTACTTTTTCCCTGCAGTACACACATTTTCCCAATAGATGGTGCAGAAAAATAATAAAAGTATTTTTGCATTTTAGCCTTTGTGCATGACTTTTTCATGTCATTTATCTTAGTTCACACGAATGCTCCATCTATCTGCTCCTGACCCCCCCACCCCCCCCCCCCCCCCCCGGTGTGGCCCGCGAGTCAAAACGCCACAACGCCTGGTTTAGACTAAAAAACAAAAAACAAAACAGTATTGTTAGCGAAATAGTGTTAATTTCACTTCGACGACCCCGATCCAAACCATGTCGTTATAGTTGTCTTTGTGGTCGCCACGGCTAAATGTTAGCTCGCAGTTATATTACATATTACATACAATATATTGCTAACGCTCTGTATAAATTGACCATGAATATAATGTAAAACATTAGAAGAAAAAAAAAGACCTTCTCATGACAGGTGATTTTAAACCACCTATTGGCGTGTGATTGTGATTATACGTAGAATATTTAAATATTAATATGGTTCCAGAAATCTCTATGTCGTGGGTGCAATTAATTTCCTAATTAATTACACACATGTCTCATTTAGACGTTTCTGCTTCAGCAAGAAAATGAAAGTGAAGTAAGAATACAAATAAGATTTAATTAGTTCCTTGGCTGGTCCGTGGTAGAACATTATCTCCTCACACAGTGTTCAATGAGTTTAATGAGAAAACAAACTGGGGAAGCTTTTTTTAACTTGTTTCTTGCTGGTGTGTGTTTGCCAGACTGTCAATAAACTGGTGATAACTCGCCGTGCGATAGGTGGATGCTGTCATTCATGTTTTACGCCCACTCTCCTCAGAACAAACAGGGCTGTTTGCGGCATTGAAGCTGCTTGCGCTAATCTCACTAATTGACGCTATTTTAGAAATAAGTATCATTGAAAACGTCAAAAATGCTTCTTTTTTTTTCTCCCCCGCTTCAAAGCCATGTGCATCTGTGCTCTTTCATCATCGGGAAAATCATATGTTTTGTGATTGTTTTTTTTTTTGTTTTTTTGACACTAATTGAACATTTTCAGTCAATCTTCAGTCCTAAATGGGACTCCAAAGCATCATTAATTTCTATTTTCAAGAGCGCAGATGGAAGTTGGGAACAGCCTCTGAAATTGGTTGTAATCATCTGATTATGTGTTACACCGTGTACATGCAGATCAAAGGCTGCTCCTCAGCCCAGCAGGCAGAGTCTGAGCTGTGGCTGAGGCTTCAGCGTACCAGTATGTTCTCTGATAATGACAGCATTGTTGGCATGGGAAAACATAAAGATGAAGAGTTCAGCCCCCGCCTTGTCAAGTTGAAAAGATTCACATTTCTTTTAAATTAAAACATCGGAGGTTTGAAATAAAGCCGTCCTGACATTTACAGCAACACGAGGATCTTCACTGGTCTCTGTTGCTCCTGGTAATTGCCGTATGACAGAGGAATGGTCAACACACCAACGACTGAGTTTCACTGGTTTACATATTTTTCTTGACATATTTCCTTGTTAATGATTCCATCATATTGATTAGTCTTAATCGTAATCGTGATTAATTATGATCATGATCAGTATATTTGTAAATGTGTGTGTGTAATAAATTCTAACACCGACTTCAAAGGATGTATAAAATTCAGTACAACCGCTGCTACTTGGTTCCAGATTTTTCACAATCTGTGAATCTCTTTTTCACAGATTGTGTACAGGGGGAATCCTTATGCAGAGCATAACTCCACATCGTACCTCATATACGAGCAAGGGATTGAGGTCGGCTGCTGGGGGCTCTGTATTAACGCCGTCTCCTCCGCTCTCTACTCCTGTAAGTATCCACATGTGTGTAAGAAAGAAGTACTAACCCCTGAAAAAATACCTGCACTGTACAAGTATAACTCTGTTGTATATTTAGTCTGAGCTGCATTGAACATTCGTGTAGCTATAGTGCACGGTGTTGGCTGGAGAGAATACGCAGTGGAAGAGTAAACCGGAGAACAGGGTTAAGGCAGACCAACGGTATCAGGTCCAAACACCCACCTCACAGAAACATCCCAGAAGGCACGTGATCACGGAGAGGCTGTTAGTCCAGATGTGTTATACCACAATGGAGAATTTCACAGTTTGAGTCTTTGCAACCCACTCACGCTACCACAGGGGGCGCCATTAAGTATACAGTTTCCTCTGGGGCTTGAACCTGAGAATTTCTGTGTGTAAGGCAGGTGTGATAACCGCTACACGTTGCGTCAACAGCAGATGGGATGCAACGAGTTTGTGGTTCCTCTGGGGCTCGAACCCCTGACCTACTGTGTATAAGACGAATGTGTAAGGCAAGCGTGATTATTACTACAGGATGGAACCACAGAAAAAAAATGTTGCGTAAACACAGTACTTCTCAAATACTGGGGTGTGGGTGCAGTGAGGTGGCGGGGCCAAGGGGGGGCGTGATGGACATAAGTGTAACACTGATGTAAAGCTTGAACGTTAACAAGCCTCCAGCCACTGGGTGGCAGCAACTCATACAGTTGGTTGTACAGATAAAAATGTACATGTTATCAGGTTATAGTATTTCAACTCCTGGGAGTCTGGGTCGGAGGTGAGGCTGGGTGTGGGGGGGCGTAAAAACATTTATATCCCCAAGGGGGCGCATTGGAGAAAATAATTGAGAAGCACTGTGTTAACAACAGATCTGCCCAACAGGATGCAGCGAGTTTGTGGTTCCTCTGCAACTCGAACCCCAGACCTACCGTGTATGAAGCGGACGTGTACGGCAGGCATGATAATTAACACACTGTGGATCCACTGTTGTGTATTTGACTTGAATTCAGCTCACGTACTGCAGGAATCACCTGATGAAACCCTGAGGGTTCTGCCTATTAGTGGAGCCCTTCTGCGCGGTACTTCCATGTGGGCGATGCCACGAATGAAGCTGCGTTGCAGATGAATGATCTGGTGGCTGAGATGAGCGGAGGGCTGGTGCAGCATTCGTTGTTTTACTGAATCTTTCAGCAACACATTACTCTTCAGATTGAAAGGACTGTGGTCTGATTATATGAAAAACCAAAGAGAGCGTGGACCAATCATGTAGTGTCTGATTCATCATCAGACACAGTTGTTAAGTGTGTGAAGTCTTTCAGATGTCATACGAAAACTGTGTTGAGCACACTTTTTCTCCCAGGCTTTAGTTGTACTCTGTTTCTCAGACCCCGTCTTTGTGTCTGCTCTGGCTACACGTTGGGCTTAAAGAAAAAAGATAAATGGCATCAAGATGTTGAAAGGACGCTGGTGCTAAAAGCCAGCCTCCTCAAAAGAAGCTGCTTGTGTCTGTGGAACATGTGGAACAAGTGAGAAGCGAGAATAAAATAATTTATTTGTGCGCTAAAATGAAAGGCTGTGACTGCAGTGAATGGGAGAAAGAATGAAAGAAATGAACAGAAATATCGACCCCGAGGTAAAGCCTGGAGGTGAAAACACCGGGAGCCGGGGCTTTTCTGCTTCCTGTGGGGGAGGAGGGTGATTTATCAACGTGTCTGACAGGTCAGAGAGTTGTCAGTCAGCCCCAGTTAAACAGAGTAAAGAGAAGCAGCAGGTTAATGTCACTAATTATTGCACTTTGTCCGCTGCTGAAAAGGTAGAATGGATTCAAATAAGAGCGGAGAAATGCAGAGCATGAATCGATCTGATGAGTCCGTCACCAAAGCTCCACCCTAACATGGGTCACTTAGCCTTCATTGTCACATTGAAATGACACTTTAACAACATTTTACATCATATTATGAGAAATGGAAATATATATTAGCCAGTGATGACGTCACATGACTGTCGTCAATGTTTTTCTTTTTTTAGGAAGGGGTTGGATGTCATGTTTTATCTATGTATTTGATCATGTTTATGCAAATGTGTTTCTTTATTTACCAGAAACTGATGGTCTCAGTGAGGACATTTTGCAGATTTATAAAATATATCAGGGTTTATCCTGCACGGAGCTTTTATTTGTGAGAACTTTGGCTCCATTTTCATTATGTACCTCACTCCAGGCACCGAGCACTTTCTTTTGAACCTTGTTGAACTGTAGACAGAACCTGTGTATACGTAAATAGAATAAAATTTGTGCTGAAGAACTTGACTTTACAGAACTTTACAGAATCAACAAAAAATTGTACAGGCAAGTCACGCTAACCAAAAAAAAACAAAAAAAAAAAACAGAATCTGACAAAAAAAAAAGAAATTCCATTCGGTGCATCTCAAGGTGGAGCCCCACTAGGTGGCACTATAGCAATTCCAAGGACGTCATTAAAGCCCTGAAAGTTGAAGCAAGTTGTGGGGGGAGGGTTGGGATCAACCAACTGATTGAAGTAGGACTTTTTAAATATGCATTATTTCATCTAATATAATTTTGTTATATTGAATTTTTGTTATCTTTTTTTGCTCATTATTAGACTATCTGTAATATTCATGTTGTTATGACCCAAACCTTTCTATATAATTTGAATATCAATACTTGATGTTTTTTTTTAGATGATTCTACTTCAGTCAGACACTTAATATTCTTGTGTGAGTGTTGACAACAACACCGTGGAGGTGGTCTTCCTTCCTGTTCTCACTCAAGTGTATGAGTGATAATTATTCCTTCACACTACATTCATCTTGATACCTTTGTACTGCAACCACACAACAATAGACTAAATAATTCTCTCACAGGTTTGAAAAAGCCCATTCATTTGGTCCTGAAAGACCTTGGACAGTTGTTGTTGAGCGCAGCCCCTTCCATTTGTTTTCAGTTGTAATTGTCTCCTTTCTCAGACGCTGTTGTTGTTGTTGTTTGTGTTTTCAGACGTGCAGCATTTCCTCCTGCCCTACGTCGGCCTCAAAGGCTTGTACTTCATTGGCTACTTCGTGTTCGGTTTGGGCACCAGTCTAATTGGCCTCTTCCCCAACATCGTGGCCACGTTGATCCTCTGCAGTGTGTTTGGAGTCATGTCCAGCACGCTGTACACCATCCCTTTCAACCTTATTGCCGAGTATCAGCACGAAGAGCAGGTACTCATTCATTTTGTATGGTTCAGATGCACAACATAAAAAAAAAACACAGACCATATATGTATATCTACTAAATATATATACACACATAAATATATAAATATATATATATAAACATGTAATGTAACATTTAACAGTGAAGGAGCAGGACCTTGGCAACACAAGACAATGTGTACAATAAAGCAATATAATATATTTTATAATATATAATATAGCAGTAATATTGTAATGTTATTATTATTAGTAGTAGTAATTTTCATCATGTATAATAATTATAATAACAATAATTATTATTATTATTGTTGTTGTTGATATTGTTATTGTCATATAAAGTAATGGTATATAACACCATCCAGTGCTGGTCTGTAAGTCTTGTCTTAAACAGTTAAGTCACTTGACTTTTTAGCTGCTTCACAGACATATTTTTTTTGCAATCCAAAAATTCTAATTCAAAAGTCCACGATAAAACTTTTCACTTCTCTATCAACGAAACAGACATTTTTGTTTTTGTTTTTTTTTTCACAGTTCTGCCAACATTTCTATAAATGCTGTCAATTTCCTCCGCCACTGCAGATGGAATATCCTTAAAATTCAACTGTCGACCCCTGTAGTTAACCTCAGTTTGACTCGTGTCAGGGTTGTTGATTGTGTAATCTACATGCAAATGCATGTTCCCTCTTTGGTGCTCAGACGTTTTCATTGTTCCGTTTGCTCCGTGCTGCTGCTGCAGGGAGTGAAATCTGTCGTTCTTCCTCTTAAACTCGTTGTCAGTAACTTTACCCTGGTGGTCTTACCATTGAACAACAGGCAGATTTAAATCCACAAACCAGCAAAAAAAAAAAACAGATGGCTACATTAACCAATAAATAGTGTGTAAGTAATTTCACAGCTGGGTCTCCTCTGACTTCAAAGTGTTTAAGCAGTAATCTAATATGATGCCTTGGGTCGTGTCTCACAGACTCACAGCTGAGTTCTGGCATTTGCACCTCAGCAGCTTAATAAGGGTTCAATATTCGAGCCTCTGATTGAATATTACTGGAGTGCTGTGGTGATGATCAAGGTGACCTTCAAGTGTGAATTTGGTTGAGTCAGCCTTTAATCCAATTGACTTTATTACCATCCTAGCTGTGGTATTAATGCTGTTCTCCCAGGTGTGCTTCATCGTCCTCGTCTTCATCGTACAGCTGTAGGGTTACATCCACGTAGTTGTTATTGTGTGAGTGTGAAAAAGGCAGAGACCCACAGCAGCACAGCTCTAAGCTGTTCGTAGGTGAACAGTTTAGAGCTGTGCTGCTGTGGGTCTCTGCCTTTTTCACACTCACACAATAACAACTACGTGGATGTAACCCTACAGCTGTCTTAATAAAGATTTTTAGCCATGTAATCAGCCACATCAGTAAACAGGCTCCACAGTAAATTCTAAACCCCCTATCCCAGGCATGGGCAAACTAAGGCCCGGGGGCCAGATGCGGTCCGTTCAGCTTTTTAATCCGGCCCGCCAAACATTTCCAAATTATATAATTTGTTTATATTATTATTATACTTCTGCTTTTCCCTGCAATACCCACGTTTCCCCAATAGATGGTGTAGAAAATGATAAAAGCATTTTTATGTATGCATGTTAACCTTTATTCATGACTTTTACGTGTCATTTATCTTAGTTCACACTAACACTCCTGATCTATCTGCTCCTGACCCGGCCCCCCTGTTCAATTTTAGGACAATTGTGGCCCGCGAATCCAAAAGTTTGCCCACGTCTGCCCTATCCCTTAACACCATCCCTTTTTTTCTGGGGACCCATATTTTAAAAGTCACAAATCTTCCCGACCCAAGTCAATAGACATTATTTGTAAATTCCTGGGAAACATGATGAGAGACGACCCAAAAAAAAAAAAAACTCTTGCGACCCACGTGAGGGTTGCGACCCAGTCTTTGGGAAACAATGCTTTACACTAACCTTAACTATTACAAATATATACTTTTTAAATCCTAATTCTTACTAGTTTTCATTCAACCACAACTGATTTTTTTTAACTGGACCTAAATGTCAACTTGGTGAAAGTATGTATTTTTGCGACATGTTTTCATTTGTTCATTTGTAATAATAACTCTCATTTATTCTTCTTTTTTTTCCCCATTTAATGGCTTTGTTCACATTAATGCATTAGAATCTTATTAGTAAGATAGTGATTAATGAACGTCTCCATTTACTTCACAGTGCAGTGGATTAACCTGTTTTTAATAACGTCAAAGGGTACGGAATAATTCTCTCCACGTACAGCACTGGTAGGAAAATACCTCAGGCTGTGATTAAAAGTAAAGTTACGTCGGCTTTGGAGACATCGCTGTTAGGATAATGTCTGCTGCCCACACATTTAAATAATGTCTGAAAAACGTCTTTATAATCTCTCACCAAAGACTGTTTTATCTTATCAAGATAATATAAAATATCTGATTAAGAATTGGAAGAGGAGTTAAGAACCTTTGGATGAACCGGACTAATAACACCTCATGTTGTTCTGCTCCTCTCTCTCTCTCTCTCTCTCTCTCTCTTTCTTCTCCTCCATCCTCCTCCTACTGCTCCTCCAGGAACAAGTGGCCAGACAGGGAAACAAAGAGCCCCCCCGTGGTACTGGAGTGGACTGTGCAGCGCTCACCTGCATGGTCCAACTGGCTCAGATAATCGTGGGCTTGGGTCTCGGCGCTCTGGTCAACTTGGCAGGAAGTGTGATCGTGGTGGTGCTGTCAGCGTCCGCCGTGTCTCTGTTTGGCTGCATCTTCATCGCTGTCTTTATCAGATCTGTGGAATGATCGGGTTCTCACGCAAATATTTTGTTGGTGTCGTTTTAATAAATAAAGATACTTTATTACATCTTTACAATACCCAGAATTCCATGACCTTTATATTTATATTTGACATGTTATATATATATATATATATGGAAGTTGATGGGTTAAAACAGTGTTTCTCACTTATTTTTTGCCCCCTCTAGGGGACAGAATTAAAATACTAATGAGCGCCTGGTAATATTTATTTATTTATTTATCTGTACAAACCACTTTACGAGTTGCTGGCACCAGAGTTCTGCGTTCAATCCCCTGATTATCAATATAGATTCATAAAATAGGCTGAAATGCCGCCATCTAGTGACTACAGGCTTGTTGATAATGTTCATGTGTTATGAAGGAGTTAACAGTTATGGGTATGGGAGAAGGAGTGAGGTGTCGTGGTGAGAGCGCGTTTTTGGCCGATAACGATTCTTACAGGTATTACAAAATATGCTAATATCGGGCCGATAATATCGGTCGCAATATTATCGAATATGCCTAATAAATATATACCCTATGTAAATATATGCTGCATATAATTATATATATAAACAGTATATGTTCGTGGTTTTTTTTCCCTCATGTTTGACTGACGTTCCTTTCATTATTCATTATTCGCGACAGAGGGCAGCAGATTAGTGTCACCTCCAGTGTGACACGTACTGGCTGCGCCGTGGTGAAGCGGATACAGATTCAAGCTGCTTCTACAAACTCACCTCTCCTCTGTAGAACCATGGCAGGTACTCCTGCGTCGGTGTGACTGTTGTGCTTTACTAAGCAGAAAAATATTGGTTCAGAGTGGAGTTATGAACAGACCAAAGTTTCTACACGTTTCTTCACCATCTGCACCCGGCCTTCGTGGTGACATCTTGGTTGACAGTTCTGTTCCCGTTGTCACCACTAAACGTCTCATTTTATTACACAGCCACGCAACACTTTCTATAAATATAATTGCATGCGTATATATATTTTACACTAGGCATTAAAATCAGAGAGAGAGAGCAGTGTCGTTGACATCGCTTAGTGTGTCTTCTCTACAGCCCATCATTTGGGCAAATCACCGTCTGCATCTTAGCTGGACACAAGAGGAGACGGTCACTGAGCAGAACCTTCATCCACACAGCTATCAGACTGTAGGACACCATCCATCCACCCATCAACTTAATCATCCATCCACCCACCCATCCATCCATCCATTCACCCGCTCATCCATCCATCAACTTCATCATCCACTCACCCACCCATCCATCATTCATCCATCCACTCATCCATCCATCCACTCATCAACCCAAACATTCATCCATCTTTAATCATTTCATCCATCCACCCCTCCATCCATCCATGCATCCATCATTTATCATTTCATCCATCATCCAGTCATCCACTCACCGGCCCACTCATCCATCCATCCACCCAATAATCCATCCATCATTTATCCTTTCATCCATCCATCCATCCATCCACCTGCTCATCCATCCATCAACTTAATCATCCATCCATCCACCCATCCATCCACCTATCCATCCATCCTTGCATCCACTCACCCACCCATCCATCATTCATCCACCCACTCATCAACCCAATCATTCATCCATCTTTAATCATTTCTTCCACCCATCCATCCATCCATGCATCCATCATTTATAATTTCATCCACTCATCCATCCATCCACCCACCCAATAATCCATCCATCATTTATCCTTTCATCCATCATCCATCCATCCACCTGCTCATCCATCCATCAACTTAATCATCCATCCATCCATCCATCCATCCACCCATCCATCCACCTGTTCATCCTTCCTTGCATCCACTCACCCACCCATCCTCATTCATCCTTTCATCCATCCATCCATCCACTTATCAACCCAATCATTCATCCATCTTTAATCATTTCATCCATCCATCCATCCATCCATCCATGCATCCATCATTTATCCTTTCATCCATCCACCCATCCATCCACCTGCTCATCCATCCATCAACTTAATCATCCATCCACCCATCCATCCACCTGCTCATCCATCCATCCACCCATCCATCCATCCACCCATCCATCTTATCTTATATATAAATATATATACTTTTATAAACTGAGTGAAAGTGTAACTTCTTCTCTCCTCTGTGGACAGAAGGGAATCGTGGGGATAAAATCGTGCGGCACACGAGCAGCGACCGAACACATCAGTGACACTTTGAAGATTCAGCTGTGAGTCACGAGCGTCGGGATCATTTTCTGCTCATCATCTCAGCCGACCTAGTGTGAGGCCTGAGATCAGTCGCTGGCTCGCTTTTCAAAGCATGTTGTCACTTCTGCTCTGCCTTTCACATGTTACCCACAGGGCGGTCCAGGGATGAAGGGGGGGGGCCGGGAGAGGGGGGGTAGATGCTTTGTTTGTGTCTGATGACACCACAGATGTCCCTTATTTCATTTCAGGTCATGTTTCCAGGTGTTTATCTCTTTAGATCACGCTCTTTTCCCCCCATTTTCCCCATTCTTCAAGTGCAAATTCTTCTTTTAAAAATTCCGTTTCTAAGCACATCAAAGCCTCTCCTGTGGGAGAGTAAGAAACAGGGAGTCGCATTTAAATGGTAGTCGTGACATAAAGCCATATGACTTAACAGATGGAATTCTTACGTGTGTGTGTGTGTGTGTGTGTCACTGCAATAATGATCTCTCTGGATTTAGAAACCGTGTTCATGTCCACCTCACATCAGTTTAGCCTGTAGCAAAATCCAGAAAATGACTTTCTTTGATTTTATTCTTAATTAACGGAGAAAATCTTTTAACAACGATTCTTGGTTCTAAGTGTCCGTGTGTTTTATCTACAGCCTGGAGCTACCTTTAATAGAATCTGTTCACAGTCATACTGTACGTTCATCTCCCACTCTCTGATCCTTAACAGGAAGTGGAGTCGATCCCAGCAGTTTTCTCTCATTTCTCTTTCATTTTTAGAAATCCCATAAATCCTCTGCCATCTGCTCGTCGTTGCATTTTTACAATTAACAGGCAAAAGGGGAAAAAAAGCAAACAGAAAGGATTTTGTGATGCAAAATGTCTGACTTTGTCAGGGTTTTGGTACATATCTGCCCCAGAGGATTTTAGCGTCCTCTCACTCGGTCAGTGTTTCCCAACCTTTTTTGAGCCATGGCCCATATACATCATCACAGCACACTACCAAACAAAAGTATATGTAATGGAATATAATAATCTTCTAGTTTAAATGACATCATAATTGACTAAAATCTCGGCCTGTTTAGTTGAAAACAACGCTGATATACTGGCAGGAATTGAAGAAAGACACTCACAGAGATCTTCTTCAACAGCTCTGATTATCTTTTTACTTTTAGTTTAGTTTTAAAGTTAGTTTTTGTTCATAGTTTTATTTTCATATACATCTGCTGCCACCTAGCAGAAGAATATTTAATTGTTCTGCCTTTCATGTTTTCACGAGCAAAGAAAAATTATATGCAATAAATAAATAATAGTTTTCAGCGTAATTAAGTGAAATTGGATCCTTTTCCAGTAAATGAGTAAAACTGAAGTACATTTTTTCACTGTGTCCGGTACCAAATGACCTACAGACCGGCACCGGTCCCTGGACCAGGGGTTGGCCACCCCTGCACTAACTCATAGATTCCCCCCAGGTTTTTTCCGACTCCTTCTTTCTCCCAGCTCATTATTCTCCCCCAGCAGCTGCTGGAAACTCAGTCTGAGTTCAGTCTGTGCTTTTATTCACAGATATCATTCTCTCCCAGCAGCTGCTGGAAACTCTTCAGTCTGTGCTTTTATTCACAGATATCTCCTGAAGAAAATAATCAGTGCTGGAGATTTTTGTTACCATGACTATAAGTAAACACGCTCCTGCATAATCATTGTTAATAAGCTTGTCCGTGGAAATGTTTACCAAGTGGCAGATACACATTAAAATTCACCTTAACTGCAGCTGTGGACGTGGAACTGTTTTTCAAATGAGAGGATTCACAGTAGAACTCATGCAGGAGCCTCTTTTTCAGAGAATTGTTTTGTGCTGAACATTTTTTTCACCTCCATCTCAAAGGCTCATTATTTTCCCCAGCATGACATTTCAAGGTATGCACTTTCAGTTTTTGCTTTTAAATGGCAAACACCACCAGTAATAAAAGAGTTTGGAATCAAGGCTTGAATAATGAAAATTGTACAGGGTGATTAATAAAAATAAAAAAGCCTGATTGGCTTCTGCACCATTTTTTGAAATAACAGTATTTTTGTCTGCAAAAGGATTTCTGTAAATGTGAAAAGAGTTCATTTTTCCTTTCTTATATAAGATGTTCAGCCAAATGAGAGTCAAGACTCAAACCATCTCAAACAGACCTTTTATTGAACACAGACATGTCTTGACATTGTGCCTCCACCAAAGATAATAATCAAGACTTCCTGTGATTCAGAGCGGCTAGAATTAGAGATGTCTGATAATATCCCACATCCCCGGCTAGAACCAATAATAACATTGACACAGAAAATCAAACTGTTTATACAAACTCACGGTGCAACCACTTTTTGCATCATTCCCTGAGACAAAACTGATCTGACAGCAGTGTGTGTGTGTCCATTTGAGGAGAAAATAACTATTTTCTTTTCCTATTCTTCATTTGCGTGTCCTTGATTTTTTTTGGTCCAGAATCACACTCAAAAATCAATAGAGCCCAACCACTGGACCGTGAACTGGTCTGTGGATCATTTGGTTTCGGGCTTGATCTAAAAAAAAGTTTTTTCTTTTAATTACTTATTCTGCCAAATCAAACACATTCAAACTGCTCTGTTCCGATTGTCAGAGCTTTTTCACCGATAACTTTTTCAACTAACTGAGTAAAAATAAAGTCAAATGTCGACGTCGCTGCCAAACCTTTATTAAAATTGGTCAGAAACTCAGTGAGGAAACAACTCACGGCTCTACGGCTGCCACAGATACAGAAGCGTTAAAAGAAAATGAAGTCCACTGCTGTGGAGCATCACTTCCATCTCTACGTCTGACTGTGGGGACAGTGTTCTTGGTGTTACATGCCTCTCCGTTTCCTCTCCAGGTGTAGGTGAATCTTTTGCACCCTCCCACCCAAAAAAAAAACCTATTCTTTCGTCATATTTGATGAGACGGTGTCCTTCTCCAAAAAAACCTATTCTTTTGTCATATTTGATGAGACGGTGTCCTTCTAATATTCGTCATCTTCCTCGCTCGTCAATTGGTGATTTTAGATTTATTAAAAAAATCCTGAAATCCAGCGTAAAAGCTGGTTCTGAACACAGACAAAACAAACACAACACACCGATTACCTGGCCACACATTGCCATGACATGTAACGTAAGCTTTTGAACCTTAATTAACGATCATAAAGCGCTATCTTGAGCACAAATAATATTGCGTTATAATAATTTCTGATATATAAATATATATACTGTATATATAAATATTTACTTACTGTAAATATTTTTGATAATTGTTCTGCCTTTGTTCATCTATGCGACACTAGCACACAGAACATTACTCTTCCACTAGGTGGCAGCAGAGGTCTGTGAGCTCATCGCCTCTTCGTAGGGTTGCTAATATTTATTTACACCTTTTACCGTTTGTTTTCTCCGTCTAACTGTGCGTCACTTCAAAAACAAACATATCCTAAACGGAAATTTAGGATCAAAACGCAAAAGATAACAAACAAACGCAAACGTCAACACATGAACTGGTTTATTTACACCAGACTAGACTTTTACTTCTCCTTTAATGCGAACGTTACATAAAAAGTAAACCTTGGTTTTGACTTTTTAAAATATGTTTTTAAACATCACGAGTTAGTGCTGCAGCTCACAATGAACTATTATGAAATAATTTAATCTTTTCTGATCTGTGCTTCACTCCATCACAAGGCCACAGAAACTGAACAGTAGAGAAGACGGTTGACGGTTCCACACCCACACCTGCTGTGTTTGAATACAGTGCCGTGTTTCTCTCTGACAGCGTTTCATTTCACTCTTCTCTCCCCCTCACACGTCTTTGTTTTGAAAATGACATTTTGGTGTCGGATCTTGTTTTGTTTTAATTATTCTTTGCTGCGTTCCTGTTGACCTTTTGTCTGTTTTCTACAGTAAGACTGGATAATAATCAAACACAAACTTCACAGACAAACACCATCGTATCACCACACAAGAGCCGCTGCTGATCTTCTGGCAGTGTAAGGCATTGGTTCCCAAAGACTGGGGCGTGACCTTCAGGTGGGTCGCAAGACTTTTTTTTGGGGGGGGGGTGATCTTGCATCATGTTTCCCAGGAGTTTACGAATAATGTCTATTGACTTGGGTCGCAAAGGTTTGTGACTTTTGAAATATGGTGTAAGATAAGATCCACTTCTCCACCGTGTGACCACATCAACCATCAGCCAGGATTGGTCATCAGTCATCAGTCTTATCTGTTAGGCTGAGCATCACAGGTGGGGCTCTCTCTCTCTCTCTCTCTCTCTCTCTCTCTCTCTCTCTCTGTCTCCTGTCTGTGTGGAGGGAAGTTTCCTCTTCTTTCGTCCGTGTTGAACGAACGAACGAACGATCGAACGAACGAACGAGCCGTCCTAAGTCCACTCTGTCCTTATCCCCAGGTGTTTTCCATGTTGTCCACGCACTTCATGAACAACTTCAGTGTCAACGCACATTAAAGACAGACATGTCCGCTCCTTTATATACAGCAGAGGAGACAATATCTAATGTGGATGGAGAGACAAACACGAACCAAACATGACACGGTGCTCCGTCCCGTGCGTGATCCCCACTCCTCCGGGACTCGACCCACAGTCCAAACCACCTTCTTACGTGCTGTTCTGCGGCAGATCCCTCCGGTCGTTGTACATCACTGCGCCCGGAGGATAAAACACCACCGCCTCCTCCAGGGGCGCACTGACTGGCGCCGCCTGCGCCTGTGCGTCCAGTTCGGGCTTGGTGGTGGCCGTGATGGGCCGTATCGTGGTCAGGGCCGGAGACGTCATCTGCCAGAAGAGTTTCCTCAGCGCCTTCCTGAACTCCCTCCTCATCAGGCAGTAGAGGATGGGGTTCAGGCAGCTGTTGGAGTGAGCCAGGCACACGGACACCGGGAACACGTACACCTGCATGGTGTAGTACTCGTAACTGAAGTGGACCGCGTTCAGTTTGATCAGGATGCCCCAGGCGGTGAGCGCCTGGTTGGGCAGCCAGCAGAGGAAGAAGGACAGCACCACGATGGTGACGGACTTCGTGACCTTGGCGCGGCGCTTGGCGCTGGAGGTGTTGATGTTTTTGGAGTTGATGAAGCGCAGCAGGAGCAGGTAGCAGGCGGAGATGACGCCCAGCGGCAACACGAAACCCAGCATCACTTTCTGGGAATGGTAGAGTCCCAGCCAGAACTGCGTGGTGCCATTGATTTCGGGGAATTTGACCAAGCACAGGTCCTCGTTGGAGACCGTGACGGTAGTGGAGAAGACCGCGTGCGGCAGCGCGGCAGAGACGGCGGCGAACCAGATGAAGGCGGTGAGGCAGCGCGCAGAGCAGCAGCGCGTCCGTCGCCGTCTTCCCTTGAGCGCAGAGGCGAGGGAGCAGTACCTGGCCACGCTCATGGCCGTCAGGAAAAACACACTGGCGTACATGTTCATAGCCGTCACGTAGGACACTATCTTACACATGGCTTTGCCGAACAGCCAGGTGAAGTCCAGCGCGTTCTCCACCGCCCAGAAGGGCAGAGTCAGGACGAACTGGAGGTCCGTCACCGCCAAACTGGTCACGAAAAGGTTTATGGAGGATTTCTTCCACACCCGTTTGGTCTTCATCAGATACAGGACCAGTAAGTTCCCAACCAGACCCAGAGCGCAGACCAGAGAGTAAATGACAGAGATGGTAATCCTCACAAAAGCCGCGCCGTCTCCCACAAAATCACTTTTCCCAAAGTCCTGCAGGTGGAAGTTCTCTTCCCTGGAGCCGTTGGTCGCGTTGAAAACACAACTGAAGTTGAACCCACTTCCCTCCGAGCCTTCGTAAATGGACTCCAGAAATTCGCCAGACATTGTTTTTTTTTTTAAGTAATTTTAAGATATAAATACTTTTCACGTCTTTGTAAAAAAACAAGAAACAACTGAACAAATAAATGTACAAATAAATCAAACTTAATTATAAGCATTTCTGAGCGCGAAGCCGCCGTTTTTACAGTACATAACGTCCAACAGCTCGCTGCAGTTTGGGGGTTTTCTTTTTTAAAGTGGATTATAAATACACGGAGACCGACAGCAGCGTCTCCGTGTGGCCGCCAGGGCTCGTCGTCAAGTTGTTCTGTTGCTTTGAAGGTCCTTCTCCCTCACGCGCACTGACGCAGCTCTCAGGCGCAGCATGGAGCACGATTCAGTTCTGATGGTTATATGTGATGGAAATGTAAAGAAAAAAAAAAAAGCCTGAGGCTTGACATTCTCTGACATATACGCCCTGGAGCCTGTGTAT